CCCAGCCATCAGGGTCTTTTGGTATAATTTTATAATGATGATAGGATAAGTGAAGATGACAGGGCACAAAGAAACAGGGAAAAGAAGAGAGGGCTGCCACTTACGGAAATCTATCTGGTAGAAGAACACTTTGTTCAATTAGTAGACATACTAATTTTCTAGTAAGTGCAAAACGTATAATAGGTGATGTGGAGGTATACAAAGATAAGTATGACCTGGCTCTGCATTCTAGGAAAGCACACCCTCTAATGATTTTCTTACTTGAAAAGGTCCAGTGCAGCCAGCCCATAGCCACAGATCTTCTTGGAAGTGTTAGCAATTCAAATAAATTATGCTCATGGAGACCCAAGAGAATGACTTACCCTACATGGTTCAGCTAATAGCATTTTTATTATTCCTTAGAATTCCTTCTCTCGGGACTTTGTTTCTTAACTCAAAAATGTATTTTCTTTATCCTGTGATTTGCATGTGGCTTTATATTTTCTAAATACATTAACATCACTAAATGAAGTTAAAAGTAGGATTCCAGTGTTAGCGGTGAGGGAGTAGAGCTTGTCTCAAATAGCTGATGTTTTTTGCAAAGTCCAAATAAAACTTCCTCTTTTCTCTTTATTCAAGTAGAAGACAGTTTTACCAATAAATCCAGTTAGATCCTGTCTATTGCAAAGAATAGATTTGTAGACTAATAGAGTTTTAGAGCTGTAAAATTAGGGATAAGCTAGACAGCTGAATCAGTAGATACTTAGTATATATCTTCCTTCTAGTCATTGAGTAATAGGACTCTTGAATTCATTTCTAATGATTTATTGGAATTTGGGTAAATGAAAGTAGGGTTGAAATGATCTATTTGCAAGTCTTTTGACATTTCCAGGTCACAGTAGTATTAAGCCAAAAAGTCTATTTTTAAACCTTTTTGTAGCCACATAAAAGTAGTAATTTTGACTACTGAGATATTTGAACTGTGAGGTTCTAAGAGAGACTAATGATATGGATACAATTATAAATATAATGAAAGCAGTTGTCAATAAATTGTGTAGGGATCTTTCCAATCACATGAATTGTATTAACAAATAATTAAAACAGAGTTTGAAGCAAGCTTTCTAGCAGTGATTCCCAGATGTGAGTGAGCTAATTTTTATCACTGTATTAAAGATAACTCAATGTTTTAATGCAACTGGAACAAAAAACATGTACTTCAGTAGAACCTTCAAGAATCCAGTGTTATTTGCCTGACTTTATCTCACTCACACATTATTTGAAAGGGTAGACTATGAATTCTTTATCATCTATAATGTATTACAGTTTTCAGAAAGGTCTATGTGAGAAACACTTTTTAAAGCTTGCTAGGATAAAGTGACAGTCATAACATCTTTACCACAAAGAACATCTGTTTACCAGCTCTGCTTTTTTTGACTGGTTGTAGGAGTGCTTTAGGGAGTGATTTCTCTTTTTTTTTTTCTTCTCTTGACAGGCTTCTGTGCTTGAAGCCAGACTGCAAAGATAACAATGGTGTGTGAGTGTTTGTGTATGTGTATGCATGTGGGCGCATTTGTACAGCATGCTAAAATCATAAGCATAACCTTGCAACAATGGTTCTGTTTCTTCAGATGATTTGAAAGGCATTGGGACTTCCACCTGTGAGTAGATACCCTCACTTCAATATATATATATCTTCCTTTGTCTCCCTTCAAATTAAGTTTTCAATTTCTAGAAATTCTTTACATTTTTAACTAAAATGATGCATGTGACATGACACCTTGGTATAATGGACACTTTATTCAAACAGCTCTGTTTGTATCTTATTTATAGAAATTATAAAAAGAAGTGTCTTTTCTCACCTAACATAGGACTGTGAAGTTCTTCAAAGGAAGGCAAAGTTGAATCTGGGAAACATTCATTCTGATTTTTCCTCTGATAACAATTTTGATTTAAAAAAAAAAGTTAAAAGTGTTTCCTTTTTTATTTCCCATTTTTTCTTGGCCTTTGAATATCCAACATTACCAAGCGTGTTATGAGCAAGCCAAGCTATAGATAATTTGTTGTACCTCTTAAGTCAGTAATGGTTTTTTTTTTTAAATGATATGCATATTGATAAGTACTGAATATATTTCAGTTTTCCTCAAATTATTGGGATTAGCCCATCCATTATTTCAGATTTCAAAGGATATATGCCTTTCATTCAAATTTTCATAACAGTTGGGATGCAACTTGAAAATGTTCAATTCCCAATTATTTTTTATGTATTAGTTAAAGAAATGGGAAACCTAAAAATAAAGTTTATGCTTTCTTATTTGTTAAGATATCTTTACTTATTAAAGGAAAAAAAGACATATAAAATAGATTTCACTATCTGGAATATTATGGTATAATCAATAATGCTTATTACCTTCATGTTCTTGAATAGTGGGGTAGTAATATGTCCCTGCCCTCATCGTCTGAGTACTCACAGATCAGTTCCAATGTGAGTTGTCAGAAGACGAATATATTCACTAATGAAATGACTGGTTATAAAAGTAGTCTTCTAAAACCCTATCAAGTTAATGTTTCTATTCATCAGTTTGGGGCTGATTATAAGATGCTTATAACAATTTAATGCAACAAAAATACTATGCTAAAAATATAGTGTACATACAGCCTATATAACAAAGCAAATTGATTGTAAGAATTCTTTAAGGTAAAGAAATTGATATTGAAATATTGCCCGAATTACATATAAACCCATTGACAAATGAGGAACCAGCAGAGTCAGACCAATGAACATTGAAAATTAGAGATGTTTCATGCGAGAACTATTTTAGAATCATAAAATGCAGAAATATTGGGAAAAGCAATGGCATTTTTTAGTATTTCTGCAATAATAGGTCTAGTTTAAGCTGCACTGTTGTATAGTGTTGTACAAAAAAAAAAAAGTCCTGGAAAATCAACACTTGATTTGGTCTTTATTCCAGTTAATAGCTTAAATTATAGTTTAAACTTTGTTCTTTGTGATACAATTTTTAATGAAAGTCATTTAAGATAATATTCCAGTGTGATCTTTGTCACTATTTCTATGAAAAAGTGGACTTACCGTTTTCTGTTACCAATTATTCTCTGATAATGAAAGCCTCTGGAATAAAACCACCACTCTGAATTTTCTATAACAATTAATTGTGAATAGGATAGGCCTCAGTTGATTCCTTCGTTTAACCCCCAAATTATTTATTTACCTTTTCAGAATATTTTTTAAGCACGGTGATCCTCAAGTCTGATTACACATTAAAATTACGTGAGGAGTGTTTTTTTGTTTTGTTTTGTTTTGTTTTGTTGAGACGGAGTTTCGCTCTTGTTACCCAGGCTAGAGTGCAATGGCGCGATCTCGGCTCACCACAGCCTCCGCCTCCTGGGTTCAGGCAATTCTCCTGCCTCAGCCTCCCGAGTAGCTGGGATTACAGGCACGCGCCACCATGCCCAGCTAATTTTTTGTATTTTTAGTAGAGACGGGGTTTCACCATGTTGACCAGGATGGTCTCGATCTGTTGACCTCGTGATCCACCCGCCTCGGCCTCCCAAAGTGCTGGGATTACAGGCTTGAGCCACCGCACCCGGCCCGTGAGGAGTGTTTTAAAATACTGATGCCCAGGTCCCACCCTGTAACAATTAAATCAAAACTCCAGGGCTGCAGAGAGGTGGGAGGTAGAGCTTGAAATGAACTATTGTTTAAAGCTTCCCGCAAGACTCTAATGACTACCACTGATAATACCTCTAAAGGGTATTAAAACTTCCAGCAAGCTTTGCAACTAAAGAAATGAATATAGATATGATTTGCTTCCTGCCCACACTGTTTTAATACATAGAAACTTTCAAGGATTTCTCTTATATAAATCAGCTTTTAAAATGACAGAAAATTAGATCTTTATTGACAAGAAAGAGAAAATTCTTAAGATAACTAATTTCTATACTCCACACTAGGTACTTCTTCAATTTGCTTTTTTCTATTTCCTGTCTTTGGAGTAATCATCAGAGTGTTTGTGTTTCTGAGAGGTTGAGGCAGAATCTCAGCAAAGTCACAACAGCTCGTGCTTTCTGATTCCTCTGCTGTCCCATCCCATTGTGCATCCTACTCTAGCCACAAAAATAGAGTCTTTATTTCCTATCCTGTGGTGCTTCATCGGGCCATGATGCTTTTGATGGGGCTCTCCTCTGCCCATGGCTGCCCTGCTCATCTCTATCACAGTCTCTCCTGGCAAGTCTGAAGACCACGTCTGGACTTCCACAGCCCTTTGCTCCACCATCAGCTGAATGTCCTTTGTAACAAGCAACTGTGTTATATTCTTCCCTATCATGATTTGCTCATATTAGATAGACACTCACCAAGTTCTAAATAAGTTAGGGAATGTTGGAAAGGGACATAATGCTGGGAAGAATCTCAGAGTTTCATTTAACTGTAAAAGTTTATGCAGAATTATTTCAAGAATTGCATTTTCTTAGTCTTGTCCCATTTCTACATTTGGAATATGTTAAGCATGGTAATCGCTGAATTCAAGGGTCCATCCCAGCTGAAAAGATTTGTAAATACATGAATAAGTTTGCTGATCTTTATGTTCAGAGGAAAGAAACATTAGAGGTGATTAAGTACCATCCAAATATAAGAAGATAATTTATTCTTTCTTAATTCAGTTTCCCAGAATTTGATTCCAGTAATGGACTATTTTGATATTAAGACTACAGAATTTTTAGTATTATCATTATTTAATTTCAGTATATAATAGTATATTTTAGTCTGTACTAAACAAATATTATCGTTCTGATTTGTGTATTCTTTTTGTAACCCTTACAGAGGATTTACAAGGAGAAAGGGTTTTGTTTTGTTTTTAAATCAATGTTGATTACTAGGAAAGTCTTATAAATTGCTTTCCTGTTTTTTAGCTCAGACTCTGACTCATAACTCATTACTGACCAACCTTACTTGCAAGTGTTTTGGTGCAACAATCATCTTATTTTTCTTTGTTGTGCTTATATAGTAACAAAGCCTGGAGTTCACAGAACATGTGTGGCAGGATCATGAGACAGGTCTGGAAACTGCCTGCAGGCTGTTTTGCAGCAAAGCCTGACCAAAAGTTGGGCCTCAAATGGGAAGATGGAATGAAAGAAAGGTACAGAGAGATCAGAGTGTTCATGAAAAAATGAGAATACTACAGGATTTCTTTAGAAGGAGGCTTAGCAGAAGCCAGAACACCAAAGACCATGTAAGCGCTAAGACATTCAGTGCATTCTTGCTGATAGTGTTGAGTGCTCTTGACTTTCTTTAAACCTAAAGATCATTGTTAGAAACACTAGATATGTGTCTAGCACATCAATTACTGTAACCCAGATCTCATGTTATTCTACTGTGCCTCCAACATTTTCCACTGATTGAGCATATTTAGTTTATGTTCTCTTGAATATAAAAGTGTTACCCTTTTTCATACTTTTCTACCTTGTCTAAATTCTGCTCTGTGATATCTTCTCTTTTAACTTTACATCTCCTTTCCCTCATTAATAGATGTGCTTATTTGACTGCAGAGGAAAATTTAAAATGTGAACTGGTCGGGCACAGTGGCATATGCCTGTAATCCTACCTAGCACTTTGGGAGGCTGAGGCAGATGATCACTTGAAGTCTAGTGTTTGAGCCAGAGTGGCCAACATGACAAAACCCCATATCTACTAAAATACAAAAATTAGCCAGGCATGGTGGTGTGGTCAGGAGTTTGAGACCAGCCTGGCAAACATGGTGAAACTGATCTCTACTGAAAATACAAAAATTAGCCAGACATGGTGCGTGTGCCTGTAATCCAAGCTACTTGGGAGGCTGAGGCAAAAGAATTGCTTGAACTCAGAAGGCAGAGGTTGCAGTCCACCGACATCATACCACTGCACTCTAGCCTGGGCAACAGAGTGAGACTCTGTCTCAAAAAAAAAAAATTAAAAAACATGTTATTCTTTCTGTAGTGGTTGTGTACATAGTATAGTCAATGAGCAGCTTTTTCTTTGTTTTGCATTTAATGTCATTAGGACCCAGACAAGCCTGAACAAAGAATCCTGGTCAGCAGCGTGCAACATCTTCTGTCTGTATTTGGACCAGCTGTAACTTAGATGTTTGTGCTGACCTCATCGGAGAAGGCTGGCTGCTTAGCAAATTTGGCCAACTCTAACCCAAACCAAATGAATTTATATACAGTATTTCAGCTTTATGTCAGAAGACCAGATGTGATGACCTTCCTCAGAAGGAGGGGTTTGTTAGCAATGATGACCTCTTGTCTTCCAAAAAAGCAGGATGCTCTGATCTCACCCACTGATATCCTCTAGGAGGCAGGCCACATCTGGTTCATCTAATTACGCTGTTTAAAGCAACAAGGCTTATGAACGATCAGCGAAGAGCAATTTTCAAAATCTTGAATGTTCACTGTTTGTTAATTGTGTTATCACAAATGTATTAAATTGGTAAATCAGGTATTTTTAGTGAAAGTTACTTATCTTTTTGTTTCTGCTTCTCTTATCAGATTTCACCCAGACTCTCCCAGAAACATGAGTTCTGTGTTATCAGTTCTACATTGTCATCAAAAAAGATGACACCACTGCTTGCGTAAAAGTCTCAAAGGTCATTTGTTACAAAGTTTCCAGTGACTATTAAAACAATATGTTTTTATTAAGCCTTCTTTTAAGAAATGTCTAGAGGTTTAACACCTTCTTTTATATTATTGGAGTTTCTATTGGGCTCTCATTAATAGGGTTAAAATTCATTCCTTTGGCTAAGTTATCTTCTCTGATTTACTGCGTTTTCTACTTCTTTTACTGAAGGACACATTGCAAATATGGGATTCCAGTAATGTTTTTTAATTTGCATGGTTCTGTTGTATCATAAATCTTTATTAGAAATCTTTTTTTATAGTTTTATATAGAGACAGGAAAATAGTTCCCCACTACAAAAAGAGTTCTTGGAAGATTTTTGTTTGGTTGTTTTTTCTGAAACTCTAAACTTTTAGATTTATCTTGCTTAGTATGAACCTTTTGAAAATAATCAGCCTTCTCAATCCTCTGTTACAAGCCAAGAAAAAGACTCATCAATTGTGAACAAATGATACAATATCAGAAGACAATTTTGGGTTACTTGGATTAGCCCATTCATTCAACAAATAACTATTTTTGTTACCTCCTTGCAAATGAGTTACAGGCAATTGAAGTCATCTTGTTTTACAGGTAAATTTTTAGTTGTCCATAGTCAATATACCATGGCTCTAAACCAAACAATTTATTAAAACCATGGATGGCCAGGTGGAGTGGCTCACACCTGTGATCCCAGCAATTTGGAAAACTGAGGCAGGAGGATTGCTTGAGGGCAGGAATTCAAGACCAACCTAGGCAGCACAGTAAGACCCTCGACTCTACAGAAAATCTTGAATAATAAAGAGAAGAAACATGGACTCTTGTGAACTTTATCCAGAACTGTGCTGAATCACCACCAGCTTTCAGTTATTCATTGCCGGTGAATACAAAACCCATCTAGCTGAGAAATCCTTTGATACACATATATACAAAGATGACATTGCCTAGGCTCTGCCTGCTTATGGTTCTATCTAGTAATTGACCAACTACGTTGCCTTGGGTACTTTCAAAAGTACTTTTTCTTATTGGTTGAGTTAGTAATTGGCATCAGCAGAATTTTAGAGCTGGAAGGAATTAACAATTACAACAGTGTGGATGATTCTTCCAGATTTTATGTTAAGCAAAAAAGGGGGTGGCAACACAAGTGTATATACCATGTGATTCCATTTCTATAAAATCCACAAGGCAAATCAATCTATTGTGTTGGGATTCAGCATAATGGTTACCTATGTTGGGTAGAATGACAGTGACTGAAATGGGGCAGAAGGGAGATGGCTTTTATTTGTGAAAAGTTCATTAAGTTATATAGTTATGATTCATATATTTTCATAAAAAGCTTCATAATAGGAGTTATGAGATAATTAGGCAAAAAAGACAGCTGCTGTAGTTAAAGCAGGTGATGCAGGGTTTGGCTGTGTCCCCACCCAAATCTCATTTTGAATTGTAACTCCCACAGTTCCCACGTGTGATGGGAGGGAACCAGTGGGAGGTAATTAAATCATGGGGGTGGGTCTTTCTTGTGCTATTCTTATGATAGTGAATAAGTCTCACAACATCTGATAGTATTAAAAAGAGGAGCTCTCTCTCTTTGCCTGCCGCCATTCATATAAGACATGACTTTCTCCTCCTGCCTTCTGCCATGATCGTGAGGTCTCCCTAGCCACATGGAACTGTAAGTCCATTAAACCTCTTTTTCTTCCCAGTCTCGGATATGTCTTTATCATCAGCAGCATGAAAACGAACAAATACAGTAGGGATTGTAGAAAGGGCCCAAGACGAGGATGAGGTGGGGTTGAGCCAGTATGAAAACCACAGGTTTAACCAAACCACCGCATGTTAGAGCTGAAGAAAGGAGAGTTCCTCCAGAGACTGTGAATTGCCCCAAATTATACATCTACTTGTTGATAACATTTATTAACCTATTTTATACATATATATTGAACATGTGCCATGTCTCAGATGTGGAGCAGATGTCAGAATATAGTTAGAAACCAGACCAACCCAGTCAGACTCTCACCTCACAGAGTTTAGAATTCAAGTCTTCCAGCTGACACATTTACGTGACCTGTCTGGACTCAGTAGACATTTGAGATGACACTTCCTTGATTCACATTAATCTTCCTATTTCAGAATACCGGATACTTCATCTTGTTAAGGCACAGACGGAACTTACCTTCCTACTTCTACTTGTTGCATGTTTCATTGTATTCAAGGAAAAATGTTTTGAGAATTGAGTGTAGGTTCGTCTTCCAGAGAGGCTGTGATGAGAGCAGTGAGATTTCTTGCAAGTGCTTCTCTAGGCTTGCAGGCTAGAATGCCCATCATTTCTGTGCGGGTAGACTCATTCACATCACTAGGCTCCCAGGCTTGTCATTTGATCCGGCTCTCATCTGCATGTCAATGAGGCTTAGAGCGCTTGGAAAGAATTAACTGGCCTGGGATGTTTATGCATCTTTTCAGCAAAGGCAATTGAAAGGAAAGTTGCCCTGACTGAAATGATTGTCTTGGAGCAGATATATAGGGAAGTAATCATGTTAATATTATGTGACTCGGGTTATATGACATTTTCAGTGATCAGCCTAGTAGGAGTTTAAACATAAGCAAAAACACAAACTAATCAAAAACAGTAAATGAAACATCCCTTTTAAAGAAGATCAACTGGACTTTTATTCATTTTTATACCTTTTATTCAGTTCAAAGCATAGCGCAGATTTCCTTTAGAGTATATGAGCCATGTTTTGTATTGTATTTTTAAACCAACAATATTAATTTTCAGTTGTATTTCTTTTCCTTTAGGACTAATTAAAGAAAATATGTTTGTTTTTCTAGGCATTGCTCCCAAATCTGCAAGTGCCAGCATATAAAGTCTGGTTCTATGTTCCAAAAGAATGTTTAGGTTTTGAGATTATATAATCTTTAGTAGAGAGAAGTTTGTGTATGAGAGGATGCATGTGTTCTTTGTTCAAGGGTTTAGCCTCATACCATAAACATTTCTAGACAGGTAAACAAATTTCATGCAAAGACTTTCTTATTGTGTGTCCACAGGTCGTATAAACAAATATGTAACAAGTTCAACTACATGTAAAACAGTGTTTCAGAGGACATAAATTTAATAGTTAAGATCCCTTGAAATTTGCATATTCTCTTTTGTTTGTCTTAATAGCCTTCATATATAATATGAATTCCCCAAAATATCTAATGAGAGAGTTTGATTTTCAAGTTCTTTCAAACTAAAATATAGTAATCTAAGATCATCATTTTCCTTTTCAGTAAAATTGAAGCAACCCTATGTGAATAATGATACACTGTGAACCCCCACCTGATAAGGCAATTAGGTTATAAACTCAGGATATGAGGCTAAAATTGCGTCTAGTCAGAAGGACCTTAAAAACCTATAAAGTGCCCATAAAATCCACCTCCCCATAAACTCAACACTGCCAGTGTTTCCTTTCATTGTCTTTGAACATCAGATGATGTAGGGCCATATTGTAGGAAAAAGTATGTTTCTTTAACAACAGAAAAGTGCCTGGCATGGTAAAATCCTCATACCATGGAATCTCTCCCCCCATGGTCATTGTCAGGCCTCAACTCACAGAGGGGAATGGAGTAGAATTTCCTACACTATGCCAGTTGTTTTCCTTTATTCCTTCCTGTCTTGTTATAGTTGAATTTAAGTTAAATGTATACATGCCGTGACAACACTGTATCTGTGAAGCCCCTATTGGGCTTTTCTGCACTTACCACGCCAACAGACATCTCAAGAAATACGTTGTCAACTCTGAGGTTAAACACTTGAATGCAACATTACTGTGAGGGAATTAGGTGGTCTGTACCCCAGCTTTAGATACCATTTGATTATGGTTTCGAATAACTTTTTCTGAAGTTTATGCATGTTTAAATAGATGTAGACTGTTTAATAACTGACTGTGTGTAGTTTGACAGTAATATAATGTTGCAAGAGTTAGCCTCCTTTTTTTTTTTGGAGATGGGGTCTCACTCTATCACCCAGGCTAGAGTACAGTGGCATGCATGATCATAGCTCACTGCAGTCTCTACCTCCTGCCTCCCAAGCAGCTGGGACCACAAGTGCCTGCCACCACACCTGGACTTTTATATTTCTTGTAGAGACAGGGTCTCCCTATATTGCTCAGACTGGTCTTGAATTCCCAGGCTCAAGCAGTCCTTCTGCCCTGGCCTCCCAGAGTGTTGGGATTATAGGCATGAGCCACGACACCTGGCCATTAGCCTCCTTTTTAAAGGATTATTACTCAGTTTATGTAAAGTTAAATTATTTTTGATGAGACTGAACTAATTGGTTGCATTTTACTTAAAATTTTATTTATATACATTCACACATGTATACACATGTACCTCCATGCTTCCTAACATATTTATAAGAGCTTTCCTGGTTTGGCTGCCTCTGGGAATTTGAGTTACTTCTTTCTCTTGGTTTCAGGGTCAATCCCTTCCCAGTGCCTGCTGGCATTGTTCTTGTAATAAGCTCTACAACTAACCTTGGGCTCTTCCTCAATGCCTCCTTTTCCTTCCTCACATACACATATGTGCTTACCACATGTCATCTGTCACCAAAGCCTGTTGGCTCTACCCGCATAATACATCCTGAGTCTGCCTACTAGTATTGCTCTAAACAAGCCACTGAAGCACCAGGCCTGGACCAATGCAGCATCCTCCTAACTGGCTGCTGTTTTCCTCTCCAAGTTTGGTCTCTACCTAGCTCCTGTCTGATCTTAATAAATGTAAGGTAGCTCCATACGCTTCTACTTGAAACCAGGGCTTCCCTGTGCATCAGAGTAAATTTCAAACCTTTCCATGGGCCACAAAGCCCTGGATATTTGTATCTCTGCCTGCCTCTCTGACTGCTTCCTGATACTTTTGCAGTCTCCTGCCTGCTGGCCATCCTGCCATTTCCCTGATAGGCTCACTCCCACCTTAAGGCTTTTGCCTTTGCAGTGTCCTCTACCTGTCATCTTCTTCCTCTACATTTTTGCATGACTTGATTTATTTTGTCAATTGCCTGTCTGCCCTAATGTCACCTCTTGAAGACCTTTCCTGACCTACCATCTCCCATTCCTTCTGACAAGCCTTCTTTTTTTTTTTCCTTTGTTGTACATATCTCTGCCTAAAAGGATTTTTTGTATTTATTTACATGTTTATGGTCTGATTAATCCATTCGAACTGTGCTGTTCAGTAGGAGAGCCACAGCCACATGTGGCTATTTAAATTTAAATTTAAATGATGAAATAAGGTCTAAAATTCAGTTCTTCAATTGTACTGGCCACATTTCAAATGCTCAATAGGTACACGCGGCTACTTGCTACTATATTGGACAGCACAGACACAAAACATTTCCATAAGCTAGAAAGTTCTGCTGGACAATGCTGTATTAAAATATGAGTTCCCTGAGGGCAGACAGCCTGTTTGGCTCATTCACTGCTGAATGTTCAGAGGTCATGTCTGATCTATGGTGTTCAATAAATAAGAATATGAATGAATGAATGAATGAATGAATGAACAAGAGTCATACTTTTCAGGAAGAATTGCCCTCATCACTTTAATATTCATCTTTAAACCTTCCATACCCCTAAATAGACTTAATTTTCAGGATCAAACAAATAAAAAATTTGTTTCTTAATTATGTAAGGGAAGACTTGGAATATTTAATCATTGTAATAGGTTGCCTTCTAATGCCCTTGAATTTGCCATTGTTCACCTTGTGTCCTTATAGCCTTACTCTGGGGACTCCATCCTTCAAATAAAATTCTTATCTGACTTCCAGGAGAAAGGCACATTTTTCCTGGTCTCTTTTTACCATGATAAGCCCTTTTCCTCCCACTGTCTCCACTGTGTATGCACAAGATTTTTGCTACCACTCACTAAAGCTTATAGTTACCAAAAGTTAGAAATATGTTATGCCTGTGCCTGTGTTGTTATTTTTGCTATTTTCCTGAATTTTCCTTGTGAAAAACCATAGTTTTTGAAAGTGTCTTGACAGTGTCTGAGCTTGCGGCACCCTATATCATACTGGATTGGCAAGGCCTGCTGCTGTGTAAGGATTGTAACTGAGTGTTGATTAAAAGCAGCACCCTTTCCCTCTAGCTTGCTTCAGAGCTAATACCCTTATAAATTGTTGCTATGAACTTTTGAACTCAGAGAAACTTCTGAATATATGTAATAAGAAGTAAGGTAATCCAGGGCTGAGAATTTGTGTCTTCCCTGAAACAAATCACATAGATTAAAAAATAAGTTTGATTCTTAGCTTTTTATGGTTTTTTAAATCTAATGTTTTAAATTAAAATCTGGAGCCTTTAAATATAACTTACATAAGGTTTTCAAAGAACAATTCTTCATATACAATCATCTAGATAAGAAATTTCATAGAGCAGATTTGAAAACCACCTTTAAATAAGAATGCTATTAAAAGTAATTTGTCATTTTTATTTTAAGACAGATAAATCACCTAAGTCCGAAATAATATGCTAAATCATGTTCTGAAGTCTAGATTCTAGAAATGTATTTGATTCAAACAATGAAAATAATATCAAAGCATTTACATTTTTAAGTAAGTTTTATATCTAATGTTTTATTGTCCTGAGTAAAAACATGAGTTATTTATTCATTTATTCATTTATTTATTTATTTATTTGGAGACAGAGTCTTGCTCTGTTGCCCAGGCTGGAGTTCAGTGGCATGATATCAGCTCACTGTAACCTCTGCCTCTTGGGTTCAAAGGATTCTTGTGCCTCAGCCTCCTGAGTTGTTCGGACTACAGGCACATGCCACCAAACGAGGCATATTTTTTGTATTTTTAGTAGAGATAGCATTTCACCGTGTCGCCTAGGCTGGTACTGAACTCCGGAGCTCAGGCAATCTGCCCACCTTGGCCACCTAAAGTGCTAGGATTACAGGCATGAGCCACTGTAACTGGCTACAACATAAGATTTTTAAACCTTGAATAAAGCAAATATAATTTTCAGATCCACTATGTTTCAATCCAGAAAGCTTATGAATTAGTGAACAGTTTTATTTAATAAGACATTATGAGAAAAATATAATAGCTATTAGTGGAAAGTTGTATTAATTGTATTTTTATTGGAAAAGGTAAAGCATTATATGTCTTCAGAAGCTGAATGATAGGCAGCCCATGATTCTAGGCTTAAAGATAAAGATCTTCTTCTCTAACATGTATTGCTAGCAACAAATAATAATGCCTTCAGCTTCTCCAGAGAGAATCTCATGCTGCAAGGATTCCTGTACATGAAACTTGCAATACCAGAGAACCTGTTTAAGAACCTCTTTATGCAGTCAGAGTTGATTATCTGTACT